TCGCTCCTCCCCGGAGCCATGTGGGAGGGGGCAGGGGTTTGACGATGCCAGGGAGGCCGCAGAGCAACCTCCCCCGCCGTGGGGAAGCCTCCCCCGGTGGGAGGAATCGGTGGGTGCCGTCCTGGGCAAGCACACGGCCTGGGGCCGTGCTGGTGCGGCGTGGGAGCTGCTCTGGCATGTCCAAAGCTAGGGCCACGGGGCTGCCAGACGCTGCGGGTGCCGAAAGTTTATACCGGGCCCGGAGGTGCTGGGTTTGCAGAACAAAAAAGCTGCCCAAGCTGAATAACGGCAGGGACCAGGGCTGGCGGCTCGGGGATGAGCAAAGGGAGGAGATGAACCGGCTGCCAGGCGGTGGCTGGGGGTCCCCGGGACCGGTGATGGAATGGGTCATGGCTGCACTGGGTCATTCCCTGCCGGACTGAATCCCGTGGGGAATACGTGCCCCTGCTCCGTGCTGGGTGTTTCATGGTGCCTGGCAGGGTCTTGAGAGGAGCAACATGCAGATGGGGTGACAGCTCTGCAGAGGAACCGGTGTCAGTCGGTCATGGGGTGGGTTTGTTCCAGGCTGACCCTGCACAGCTGTGCCTGCTCCTCGATCCCAGCCCACAGTCCCACACCCTTGCTGACATCCCCAAGCCCCTCCAGGACCCCCAACAACGATCCCCTCTCTCCCTGCTGCTTGTGGCTGTTTTCGGATGAATCCTCCCACTCTGTATGTGCGGGACCATGTCACTGCCCCTGTGGTGTCTGTGTCTGCTGCCCTTCCCTGCCTTATCATGTTTTTGTACAGAGCCCAGCTATGATAAACTGCTCAAATATTTGCAGAGATGTCCGTGTATGGCCGCAGTGGTGAGCTTCTCTTGTTTGGTTGGGGGGTGGAATCCCCCGGCGCTGTGATTTCCCAAGGGAGCACCAGCTCTCACGCTACCACAGCCCCCCTGGTGCGGGGCCAGGCAGGAGCACGGGAACTGGATGCTGTGGGGCTAAGCATGGCCCCAGAGCTGCTGTGGCACCATGCAGCAGGACAACGTAGCCTTTGGGGTGGCACCCCGCGGGGCAGGGAGCTCTGACACCCCAGGGGTGTGGGGCAGGCATCCATCTTTTTGGCTGTAGGGTGGCAGAGGCTGTGCTGGCAGCTTCCCCAAGACCTTGAGAGTGGATGGCACTGTTCGATGTCACCCCATGGTCCTGCAACCCTTTGGTACAAGCGGTGCCCTTGGTAATGCCCCTGGTCCTCCTGTGCCCACAGCCTTGTCTGCCTTTTCTCTGCGGCACCGCCTGGCACCTTCTGCACCAGCCCAGCACCAGGCACTGCTTTGCCCCAGCATGGCTCG